CAAAGAATAAGCTGTAAAACATTAAATTACCACGATATGACCAACCAAATGACTTGTTGTGTGCCCAAGCATCACTCTAGGAGAAATAAGTATCAAAACACGTCGAAAGTATCAACTTTGGATGTGAAAGGAAACATTCCGTGTTCATTTTTATGTAGATTTAAGTGCTGAGAAGGCAAAACACGACAATGTAAAATGGTGGCCATTTTGATTTTCTTTTCAAAACAAAATTATGTCAAATAATTTCTATATCCTTTAGCAGTACACAGAAGTCAAAATGAAAGTGATCAGATTGATAGTAGTAAAACTATTCATGATTAACTTTGAAGTGTTGTCTGGCAGCAAACCCAATTTGACAAAAATGCTCGCAGACCCCCACCACATATAATGGCCTGTAAAAAACCCTGATACCACAATCTGAGAGTATTACAGGCCTTTTCATGAGCCGAATACATCATACTAACTGAAAATAGTGTCAAACGAAATCAGTACTGGGGAGGCTACGAAATCCCATTTCTAGGCCCCTTTTGAGATTCTCCTCCTGGACTAGAATGTCAATTTGGATGGGTTCATCATAGTGTGAATGATTTGAAAGCACTGAAAACCTCCTAGCTTGTGTGGAAAATGGCAAAATTTCACATGATTAATTTGCACAAAAGAATTCCACAGTATGTGAACTTTTCTCTCGGGTCACAGGTGTTTAAACGCCAAATAGTTTTGAACAAGATCTGGTCACTTACTGACCCTTCCGCCATCAACACTCACCTCTCCCCAGTGTTCCTTGTCCTGCCCCTCCAGTGACGATGTTGAAAATGTTGGCAGCTTGGGCGTTCCCCTGAACGCTGTTCACCTGTCAACAGCAAACAGGAGGAATCATCAGTAACCATGGTAACCATGGAGTTTTCTTTCCACACTGAATAAAATATTTAATACTGTTGCAGAGCTTAAGAGTTTGATGAACATCATTCTAAAGATCCAGCTCAATCTATCTGGTCTTCTCTTGATTATAAAACTTACCAACTGATAACAATAGTTGATGATCAAAACTTGTTCATCATGAATCAGGGTAAGATTCTTCACATTTAGTTCAAGAAGTAGAGACATTCTACTACATTCTGTGAAATCAGAGGGTCTAGCTACTTGTACGAGAAAGTTGTACCAGAAATTCAGCTGCTCAACTATCACTTGCTTTGATTGGCTATAGTTGAAAACATGGCTGCCCCGAACCTTGTCATTTCAATACTCTCCCTTAAGGAAGGCATATACCAATTTAAACAATGATGTGTATTAAATATAAGAGCATGTACAAACTGAAAGGACAATAGGAAGTTAGGAACCAAATCTGAATCACTTGTAAACAATGATATGTATTAAATATCAGAGCATGCACAAACTGTAAGTATGATAGGAACCAAATCTGAGAATCACTGGTATCATGATGTCCTAAGTTTACATGGGGCTGCTGTGTTTTCTCATTAGCAGGATGCATTTTGTGTGAAGTTTGTACTGCAAGATACTGTGATGTCATATCAGAAACAAAGCTTGGTCGGCAATTTGGGTCCAGTATTTATAACATTTGTAACAGAATGGATACAATGGGATTAAATAGCCGCCTTTAGATATACAAGAGGATGTTTACGAGAAAGAAATCCTGTTAAACTTGGCATGTGGTAGACATTTGGATATTTAAGTGATTTCATATATTGAACTTCAGACAATATTTTAACCATTTTGAGATTTTTAAAATCAAATCATTACTCCTTTGTAATAAAGAGGCTAAGAACATCAAATATTTGAACAATATGTCAGTTTCGGTGAAGAAGAGTTTGATATTAAAGCCTGTATTTCTCACTTAAACAAGCCGTTGTGGCAATCAATATTAATTGGTGAAAATAGAAATGTTTCCATTTGAAATTGGAACACAATATTGACAGCTTTGAACAAGTAAAGTAAATAAAAACAGGGTAGAAAGACATCAAGATTAAGTTCCCATGACAAAATGTCAATCTGAATGAAATTCAAATTACTGTTTGAATCGGTGCTTGATCCAAAATTCCGTTTAATTACACAAATAAGATATCTCAAACAAGTATTTTATTTGAAATAAACAATCAGGGTGACAAAATGAAGGCCCAGTACAACGTGACACCAAGAATGAAGCATAAAACTTAATAGATGACAACTTCTTGTGTTTGCTTACAGTGGTGTTTCTATGTCGATTGTTACACTGTTATCAGGCAGAAAGTGACTACAAACAAGTGATCATAAGTATACATATATACATAGTATGTTATGACAAACGGCACATTAACATTAACAACAGCATGTAATTTAATCACATGTGGCACATAATTAGATGACTGACTGACTGAGTTTGGTTTTACACCGCTTTTAGCAATATTCCAGCAACATCACGGCGGGGGACACCAGACATAATTAGATGAGACCAGGTGGGTATTAATGACAACAAATAGAAAAGGTAATGAAGCCAATAAACAGGATGGATTAAGCACTTAAAACAGGGTGATAGTGTGCTATGATAGAGTCTCGTAATGTTTTAAACATATTTTATTTCAAGAGAAAGAAAGGTGAATGGCAAACAAGCTCAGTGGGCTTATATAAATGCCTCTCCCAAACATGTACATATTTGCGGAAGCTACCTACAAATCAATTCCCAATAAAGTGATAGAATGCATTGGTACCAAATACAGTTGCTTTGCAATGTTAAACCAAGATGTTTATGATGAGAAACTACTTTAATGTTGATATTATTCATGTGAAGATCAGGAAGTCTACTGGGTGGTTGTTTATGTGAAAATGATATGCTTTCGGTTTTGTTAGGATTGAAAACGACATTCCAATCTCTAGCCCAATTAACAATTGTTTCTAAGTCATGATTGAGGTAAGTAGCAGTAACATCAGGGTTATCAAAGTCAAAGATGTTTATTGTACAAAAGGCCTCTGGCCCATATACATTGGAGTTATACATACACATTATACATATGGTGCAATAAGTAGTAATTACAGACTGCTTTTTTTGGTCCTCAAAATTCGGCTTATAGGCGGTCATATACGGTAGTGATTCAAACAGCAAATCATGATACAGGCAGTAAATTATGTACAAGTAGTGAAATACGATGGACCTATAAAACTTTTTATCAGATTGTTACGTTTAATAAGAGCATAATTGATATAGTACAACAGCTTTATTATTACATGCTGGTCAGTTGATGAAAGAAGTAGTTTAAATGCTAATGTAGGTGGCTTACATAGATAATATTCAGCTATATATTTCGTACACAAATCTTTATACAAAGGACATACAAGTAAAAAATGGATTTCATTTTCCACATCTATATTACACAATAATAAAAAGGGATGTGTCATCAGCGAAGAAATCAATGTTAACAACTAAATTGTTAATGTATATCAGGAATAATAATGGGCCTAAAACGGAACCTTGTGATACTCCTGCATTAACACTGAGGAAATGAGATTGAAATCCATTTATAACAACTTGTTGTTTTCTGTCTTGCAAATAACCATTCAGGGGTTCAAAAATCCCATCGCCCGACGCCCGGGACAAGTCAGTTTTCATTTCTGGCAATCAAATAATGGTATCTTACTTGTCCGTTGGCTACTAGATAATTTCCACTTATTGTTTCAAACTGCAAATAATCTTTGTTTTAATTTCATATCTGCTCAAAATGTAGCTATTAAATTTCGCAATGATAATAAAGTAGAGTTATCTTTCTTTGCTATTTATCACTTTTCAATAAATAGTCCAGTAAACATTAACATCAAATACCATGTTGATTTCTTCTTTAATAATTACATCATCATATATTTTTATAAAATCAGGGCAAGTGGAAAATTAGTCAGGACAAGTTACTTTCTTAAAGTCACTTGCCCAATGGCAAGTGGCTTTTGTAAAAAAAATTGAACCCCTGACCATTTCAGTAAAGAGCCTGAAACCCCTATTTTTTCTAGTTTTTAAATCAGACCTTCATACCGAACTTTATATATATATGAGTATCCTGGGTCTCTGTAAATCAAGGGTTTGTGATAGGGCAAAGTTCAATAGCATTCAAAGTTTTCTTTTCGTGGATTCCGGATTTCTCAGTGGATAGGAGACAGGATTTCGACTTAGTTAAACTGGATAAGGGAATTTTTGTTGGTGATCTGTGATGGCTGATTTGCTGTATGTCTTGGCTGTTTGTAGTCACTTTTAGCTACAGTGTATGAATCAACATTGCAACATTGCTCTAGCCTCTATGCAATAAACAAGAAGTTGTCATCCTTAAAGTTGTGTGCATAATTTTTCACTCCCCAACTTCGAGAATGTTCATCAAACCAACAATGACACCCACCTGTACTCAGAGTGATTGCTTGGCTCTCTAGCTCAAGAACTTCCTCGTGCTCAGCTGAACCTGCGGGTACCAAGAGACCTTCATGTTCCTCGTGCTCATCTGAACCTGCGGGTACCAAGTGACCTTCATCTTCCTCGTCTGAACTGACTCCGCTGCTACCAGTGTCATCCTCTGAACTGGATATGTCAACTTCAGAAACAGGCAAGTCACATCTCAATCTTGATATGCCCTTGTGACCTTCAGGCTGCCCACTGGAAGGGGCCATGTGACCTCCAGGTTGCCCACTGGAAGGGGCCACCAGACCTCCAGGTTGCCCACTGGAAGGGGCCACCCGACCTCCAGGTTGCCCACTGGAAGGGGCCACCCGACCTCCAGGTTGCCCACTGGAAGGGGCCACCAGACCTCCAGGTTGCCCACTGGAAGGGGCCACCAGACCTCCAGGTTGTCGACTGGATGGGGCCACCAGACCCCCAGGTTGCCCACTGGAAGGGGCCACCAGACCTCCAGGTTGCCCACTGGATAGGGCCACCAGACCTCCAGGTTGCCCACTGGAAGGGGCCACCAGACCTCCAGGTTGTCGACTGGATGGGGCCACCAGACCCCCAGGTTGCCCACTGGAAGGGGCCACCCGACCTTCAGGCTGCTTACAGGATGGGGCCAACCAACCTTCAGGCTGTTCACTGGATGGGGCCACCAGACCTCCAGGCTGCCCACTGGAAGGGGCCATGTTGTCTTCAGACTTTCGTCTGGAAGTGGCCAGATGTCCACTGTCCTTATCGTGGCTGGCCATCACAACTTAGCTTCTTTTGTCACCAAGCACTATCTGTGAAAATAATGGAGAATCTAATTATCCTATAAAACAGACTGGTCTGCCAGCTTGATGAAATCTTTTTCACTCATTAATTTTTCCATTTTCATTATTATGATAACAAATGAACACAATATGAAGTTAAACCTTATCTGCCAGTGATACAAAATGTAAGGACTGAAAAGAACCCGGAAGTCAATGTACATCTTTATATTTTTGTCTTATAATCCGAATGAATTCATCATTATATTTTACGCATTTTGGAACTTTATAAAAAGTACAGGATCTGCTTCAGTGAATTTATAACATGACTGTAATGTCTAGACATTTTATAGATTACCAACGTGATTCATATGCACACACATGCCTTATGTGTATATTGTCGTCTCATCGAAGAACTTCACGGCGAAATGAAATGACGTGGAATGATTCTGCTGAATGCTACAACAAATGAATAAAAACAAAAATAATGTAATTTTAAGTAAAATTGATATTTTATACTTATCCTGACTCATGATCTTTGCTTATCTCCCTCTTCTATGCGAATGGTAGTGGAAGACTTGAATCCTTTGTAGTTCCCTAAAGCGGACGTAAAAGTACACTCACCCACAAGTTACCTCCCTTTTCCCGCGTAAACAGTCATGTGACCAGCCTTACTTGTCACTCTCTCTCCTGATTTTCTGCCCATGCACCTGGACCTACTATAAAATCCGAAATGATTCCAGCGGAGAGGGCTTGTCCTCATGAGTCAGGATAAGTATAAAATATTAATTTTACTTAGAAAATTACATATTTTTCCTTATCCTGACTCATAATCTTTGCTTATAGAATCCTTCGGATTGGTCTTGGGACAAGCCACTTCGTGGATTCATCAGCTGTCCTTAGATACATCCTGTATCCCCCCCATGGGAACTGCGTAACGGCATTTCCTAGATCCTTAATCCTTCCATGTTCCATTATAACTCAGGGGGACCACTTTCTTGTCTTACTTCCATCTCAGACAAGTTTTTGAGATATACTAGTATCTTCTGCTTACTTATTATCTTAACAACCCATAGATTATGATAAGATCTTTATCATAAATGAGTTGCGACCCCTTAATGTACAGGTAAGATCTTTACCCGTACAGAGTCTTAATCAATCATGCTAGTCTGGCCTAGACTGTGCGCATGGACTTTCAAACTAATACTTTTCCTTAGTAAAAGTTATCAACAAGTCAACGTGATAAAGGGTGAGATTTCCAACTCAGCGCCTTTGTGGAACCGTTAGTTGCTGTGCTACAACGAGAGGCCCAAACTGGTGAATGCCGGAGATGTCTTCGGTGACTATGTCCAGAGGTAGTGTTTGGCTACACGCATATCCGACTTCCAAGCAGCCCTCCATAAACGTGAGTGGAAGTGCCAGAGGTTCTAGTCTTGCTTGCTTTGTAGGTTCTCAATATAACGGCTTCTCATCCAGAACGATATTATTGTCGTTCTTGAGATTTCTACTGATGTCTCTGTAGATAACGGGATGAATAGGCTTTGAATTTTCTTCTCTCCTTGTTTTAGTCTTTTGAAGATATATCTTCAGGGCTCTGACAGGACACAAGGATAAGTCCTGTGTATCCTCTGGTCCGAGGATCGTAGATAGGGCTGGTACGTGGAACTGATTCTTGGCAATAAATCCCATCTGAGTCCTAGATGTACTGCAGCATGGTGCCCCGTGTCGAATCTAGTTCGTCCAAAGTCCAGCGCATGTCTCAGAGACATTCGAAATGCCGTGGCTAAGGCAAGCAGGAACAGAGTCTTCTGTGTAAGCAACTCGAAGGTAGTCTGTTCTAGAGGTTTGCAGGCATCGCTCATGAGATGACGCAGAATTACATTCAGATCCCAGGCCGGTGCTCTGAATGTCTTTTGCTGGTCCTCCAGTTTAAAAGATCGCAGCAGAACAAGTAATTCTGGTACTTTCGTCAGCTTGATGCCTGACTTCATTGTGATAACTGTACTGATGGCTGCCAGATATGTGGATAATGTCGAACCTTTCAGATGTCTCGTATATCTAAGATGACATAGATATTCCGCCACTTGAGGATGAGTAGCTTTCATAACTGTAAAGCCTTTCTGCCTTGCATATGTCTCAAACGTCTGCCACTTGCCGTCATACAAGTTACGAGTGGATCTGCGTAACGCTAAGGTTACTGCCTTTGCTGCTCTGGTGGAGAATCCTCTTTCCTTCAGACAGATTTTGATACGGTCCACATGTGTAGCTGGAACAGTGTTGGGTTCCTGTGGACTTGCTTGGTGTGTGGATGTCTGAGTAGGTTCGGCCATTCTGGTAACTTGAGGGTTGGACTTCGAAGATCTTCTATTTGGTCTAGGAAACATATTCTCGCTGGCCAGTAACTTCATGTTAGTATCTAGATTTGGGGCTTTTATAATCCATGTGATATAATGGGAATTTTCTCACATTAAAGGATGGCAGATACTGATTCTTGAACTTGGTCGCTTTCTAAAAAGCCGTACATAGGTTAGAAAGTACCTTGGATATAGGTTCAATCGGAGGAATAGTCACCGAGTCAAAGTCGTTGTTGCACATCTTATATGTGTAGACTTCATCCACATCTTTAGAAGGAGACTCTAAGTTCAAGCCATTGGCTATCCAAGCTGTAACCTCTGAGTCTGGGAAGACGAAGTCACCTTGTTCATCAGATAAATCTCGGTCCGTAGAACTATGCCTCCGCGAATCGTCCTTCTGCGAACCTTGCTTCCATGAACCTCTATCCTCAGAGTCATCCCTTCTTGAATCTCAATCTCTAGAATCATCCTTTCGCGAACTTCTATTTCTAGATTCCTCCCTTTGCGAACCTCTGTCTCGTGATACATCTCTTCGCGAGCCTCTGTCTCGTGAATCATCTCTTCGCGGACCTGTCTCGGGATGCATCCCTACGAGTACTCCTCTCTCGCGAATCCTGCCTTTGCAAACTTGGTCCTCGCAAACGTCCATGGGAGATGTGTGATCTCGATCTAGAGTGGCTTGGTTTTGGAGATGGATCCTTTGGTGTTCTCGAACGTTGAGGTTCGCAGACGGAGATCTCAAAGTGTTGGTAGCCTTCGCCAGCTTTCCATCTTCATCCATGATGACAGAGTCATCAGACTGAGATGACCTTCGCGAATGTAGACATTCGCCAATGTAGTCTTCCGATGTAGATCTGAGAGGTGTAGCAGGTTCGCGCAGGTCAGAGGGTTTGCGAACATTGTCAGCAGATGAGCCTTCGCTTTTGGGAGCAGATGAGCCTTCGCCTCTTCCTTGAACCTACGTTCCAACATGGCCATCATTTATTGGTTAGTGAATCGCCTCATGAATTCACCTGGATCGAAGTTCTGTGCTGACTGAAGCTGATGTGGTGTTGATGAAGCGCTCGCGAACACTGATGAGTTGTGTGCTTCAACTTCACTGCGTCTAGAAGTTTGTGGTTGGTTGTCAAACAGCTGGCCCGCTGTTGCAGTTGCAGGAGACGATCCAGTAGTCATGGAAGTCGATTGTGTCACCGATCTAGTAGGTACTTCAGGTACTTCACGTCTACTTCATGAGGCAGTACAATCTCTTCATTAAACGATTTCTGATGTGTTGACTTACTGAGTCGTGTAGATTTAGACTCCGATCTAGCTACAGATGTTCTCCTCAGCGACGTTGATGAAGACAAAGTCTTCTTCTTATTTTGAACTGGTGTCAACTCCGTCGTAGCAGATCTCTTCTTCGACCCCGTAACAGACGACTGCCCCTGCAACGTACTCGACATAGCACTAGTATTATAAATTTCTGCAGTAGCAAGCAACATACGGTTACCAGGTTGATCTCCAGATTTATCAGCCGTGAATTGTGATGACTTCCTCACCCGATCCATGGCACGTCTATAGATATAAGACAAATATTGATTAAATTGTAAATTTGATAAACCAATGCCAAGGTGGAAGAACATCGTTTAATGCACGAAGATTACATGAAAAGTAAACAAGTTACATCAAAATGAAAATATGTCACAAATACAATTAATTGCTTCAATTTTTTTTACATATGATACAAGTTAATTATAGCCAAATATTTTAATCTTAATAATGTAATTTTCTGAATAAAATTGATATTTTTATACTTATCCAGACTCATGCTTAATTGCTTGTGAATTTTACGTCAATATATACCCCCCTATGGGAACTTCATCATTGCGTCCGTTGCCCACGCTCATGGATCTGGGATTGGAGAGACGAATGTTGTTAGCTGATTGTTGAAGCGTGTGGCGAATAGGTCTATCAACGGAGCTCCTAATTCCTTGATGATCTGTGTGAAGATCTCTGGATGGAGCATCCATTCCGTCGGCGATGGTTGAGTTGGATGGGAGAGTGCGTCTGCTAAGACATTCTTGGCTCCTGGAATGTGACATGCTCTTACGTGGATGTTCAGATCGTCGATGAGGTCGAAAAGTTGAAAGCATAGATCCAGTAGGTTCAATGATCTGGTTGAGCCTTGCTTGTTTATATAAACAAGGGGACCTGCGCGGAGATGAGCGACTGTGGGTTCGCGAAGGTCCTGGTGAATCCCTCGCTGCTCTGTGGGACGCAGATATCTTGGATACTGTTGTTGAAGTCCTTCGCGAACACCTTCGTGAACGCTGATCATCTGAGTCCGCATATGGGGATTGGCGACTGGTCCTTCGCGGCTGGTTGTCCGATCCAGAGTCCGAGGATGAGCAATTCCTCCTTCGCGAACGTTGATCGTCCAGGTCCGAAGCTTGAGGGGATCTTGTTGTGCCTTCATGTACCGCTTCGGATGCTGATCGTCCGAGTCCTCCGCGCGAGGGGATGGTTGAGACGCACCTTCGCTAAGCAGGCTGGTCCGGGGAGTGCAGTTCTGTTGGCAGAAGTCACGCTTGATGGTAGGTCCCTCAGAGATGATGTCTGGCGCTGGAGCCTTCGCTGAGGCTCGACCTGGGCTGGCTGTGACTTTTCCAGGCCGTAACGCTCTTCCATCAGCTCCATGATCTGCTAGAGAACTGCTGCATAAAGTCGCCCAGGTTGAAGGTCTGCGGTGGTACTAGCGCTGCCCTTCCTGCGTGTGATGGCAAGGGCCCACTGGACGGTCATCTGTCGCCAGCGTTGATACCTCGGGCTGAGAAGAAATCTGCGCTTGAAGTCACCGTAGCTGAGACTGGCAATTCTTTATGATGAACCTCTGGGATGATGATCGGCTGATCATCATACAGATCCTGTTCTGTCAAGGTTCGGGAACAATCTGGCCGAGAAAGTTCTGGTTGTCTCGTCTGACTTCTTGATGGTGGACGCTGCCCTGGGTGTTTGACGATCTCCGAAGTCTTAGACTGTGATTTACGGGATGTCTGGAGAAGCAGGTCTCTTCTTGGAGGTGGCGGACTTCGCCCCATGCCTCTCCTCCGAGCGAAACTCCAG